GTTTAATGTACGATTTTGTTTTTATAAATATAAATAAAGGGATGCACAGATACCAGTTTTGCGAGTACGAGTACTGGTACTTGCCGAGCACTTACAAGTACTGATACATTTTTGTTTGTCATGTGACAGTTTTTCTAAAACAATACAGATTAATGATTTCAGGACAGTGGTGGAGCACCAGAGCCAGGTCCCAGCTGCAACCGCTGCAACCCTGGTAGTTCTCATGAAAATGCCAAGTATCTGCACTGGTACTGGAAAAGTATCGGTGCATCCCTACTGATGAATATGGTGTCACTGGTAAGTGAGGTGAAATGTCCCCAGTGGGCACTCAGACAGCCATAAAAATCTGACAAAAAGTGCTAATCCTTTGCCACCCTATCTTAAACAACATTTTGGTGTAAGCTCCACTCTAAGGCCTTTTTATTCCTGGGTTACAAGGATAGGCTTAGCAAGTTTTAGGAGAGACAGGCTCCACCGCCATTCGGCAACTTAGAACATCATTCTGACGACAATCTCGTCTCCAGCCAGATTTTGGCCTAATTGGTCCAGGAAATGGGACTTCAACCTTCTGAACTACTTACTTTACTGCAGAACATAACATATTTACAATGACTTAGTTGAGGGTAAGTGGAAGTTTATTGTTTTTAATACAATGCAATATCACTTCATCTGGACTCAGGAAAACAAAACTTCCTCATTATCCTGTTTTCAGAAGTGAAACCCAATTGTTTACAAAACGCACACCAAAAGGTGTGACACAACTTAAGCGGATGGGGAAAGATCAGAGATTAGTGATGATACTGGTCGTTACAGGAAACCATTACAGTAAACAGGTTGTTATTTGGAGAAGTCCAGTGAGAGCCATTACAAGTCCTTCAGAGCCGAAACACATCCTGTGCACTTGGGTTCCAGGTCCAGGATAGCAGTCATTTCTCTTAATGAAACACTGTCATGGGGAACAAAACACAACCTGGCAACAGGTAAAAAGTAACATCACCAAATACTGCATGTGCAGTAGTCTCCCTTATTCTCATGGACTAAACCCAAACCATTCCGCCATTTCCGAGTAGTGTCAGAGCTTGCAACTAGGCCCCGCCCATTGCTATGATGGGCAGCCTCACACACTAGCTGGGTTCACACCATTTCTCAGACCAATTCTGGAATGCAGTGCATTGCGTTTTTGCCACGATTTTACCACATTCAGGAGCTTAAAATGGGCTCTCAGGTGCGATCCATGCATTTTTGATGCGTTTCTATGCGTCCTAGACCACACAAAATGAGACAGGCAGTATTTTTCTGGAATGGACTGCGCTGGTGTGAGCAGAGGCCAGAAATAGCATAGGGATACATTAGGATGCATTTTGGGTCTGGAAATGATCTGGATGTGGAGTGAATGGGCCTTGACTCCACCAGGAATAGCCCACATTCATTATGGGCCTGATGGAGACTGCTGAAGGTATGCCTGGCTGTCATGCCAATTATCCATCTCAATGCTTTGAGTCCGTAACCCAATAGTAGTATGCAGAAAAACATCTAGGATTTTCCACATTTACACTCTTGTCCCAGCTCAGTGACTAAAAAATAATTAAAAACCAGGAGGATCAACATATCAGCCAGGAAACTGGTATTTTTAGAATGTGATCAGCAACAGCGGGGCCTGCATGTCCCTCACTATAGGATTACTTTGAGGTGTACCTTGTAGGTCCCATGCAGCATCTAAACAAATAGTACTACTAAACTGCAGACAGTTTGTGGTGCCTGCAAGCAGCTCTTCACATCAATAATCCAAAACTACAACCTCTACTAGCCAATAAGGCTCTGGTAGAGGACTTTTGAATGGTGGGGAGATGGAGCACAGCTCGGGGAGGAGGGGCTTAGTACTGACTTAGATAGAAGTCAAGATTTTGTGCAAAATGCACACCTGGAATCCAGGGGAATGTCAGGAATACAAATTCAAAGCTCATGACACAGTACAGGGTACAAAGACCAACCTGATTGCATACAGACTGATTATATAGGCCCTCATAATACATAGTTTTGGTAGATTATACAGAGATTGTATGGTCAGATTGTAGCGTTTGTGGTAACCCTAAAGGTGCCCATACACCTTACGATTATCGGACGATTTTCGTATGCGATTGACTTTTCGTCCGATAATCGTATGTGTGCATTGCAGTGTCCGACCGACAGTACTGTACAATCGTACCACTTTTGAGGGTCAAGCATGTTTGAAAACTTTGCTTGATCGTACGATTTTCGTAAGGTTGCTGGCGTTTCCGTCCGTCAAAAGTCGTACGATCTACACTGCGATTGCGCTAACGAAAATACGGCAAATCAATTACATTTCGTCCAGGTGCTTTTCGTTAATTATGGCTAAATTAATCTTGCAATCATTGGGGCAGGATGGGGCTGCCGTACAAAAATCGTACGACTATTCGATCAGACGAAAAGTTTCGTCCGATAATCGAAAGGTGTATGGGCACCTTTATACAGGTACTTTGTGACTTCCGTATTGCTAGTTTAGGCACTTTTTGGGTCCTGACAGGTTTACTGTACTTAAAAAATAATTCAGTTTCTCTCTGTGCAATTCCCCCTTAGCACATCACAAGTAAAGAAGCCCCCTCTTATTAAACCTTCATAGTTATTGAGAGCCGCACCTTAGTAGAAATAAATACTGAATTTATTCATCAACTGCACTTTGGTTAACTGAATGGCGAGTCTCCCCCACCCCCTCAGTTGAGCTGTGCCTTGCTGACCTGCTGGTGCAGCATGTTGTCAAAGATCCTGTAAAGGCAATGATGGTGACATGCAAGCAGCATGGAATGTGAAAACATGAAGCACAAGTTAAGTCATCTATAAAGATAAATTTGTCTTTGCAAAATCAAAGCATTTTTGCATAGCTCCTTGGAGCGCCCCTTCAGGCTCTATTATTGTAGATTAAAATATACAGCCACACAAATCAATAAAAAGTCCTAAAGTTAAGCCACCTCTGTATCTTCTTCTTTAAAAACATCCACTTGCCTATATGACCTCCATGCCTTTAAGTTACAAGCTTTCAGTATGGCTCCCATTTGCTGTCCCGGTCCCAGTTCATAGGTGCGTGGAACGTCCTTTCCTCTCCTTCTTTCATAGATGGCGTGCATGATCTGCTCCCATCTCACCGGGGACACCAGCTGTTTGGTGAGAAGAGGTGCGATGGCCGGGCCTTGCTTGTACCTCCTTCCATCAACATTACAGTAAACATTAACTAGAGGCTTCATAAACGTCAGACCCTTCAATGCTTCTGCCAGGGGTTCCACGGCAGGTTCCATTAAGCGGGTGTGAAAGGCGCCGCTTACCGGCAGCAGCTTGGTCCGGGAAAAGTTATATTTGCGGGAATTGTCTTGAAGGAACTGAATGGCCTGGAACACATTAAAAAAATGTTACAGTAACAGAACCAGAAGTACAGAAAACCCTGAGCCTCATAACTGAAAGACTAAAACTAGAGCTTTGTCTACCCTCAGAATATCCACATGTTCCTTGTCAGGTTCTAGTCTAGCTTGTGGCAAAATTCCGCTGCTCTGCTGCAGGTTGGTACAGTCCAATGCATAATCAAGTGTACGGACTGACAACACTAAGTTAGTTTATACATGCTCGTTATAAATTTAGCATTATATTCAGACAAAAAGAAACACCCCCTCCCTCAAATGTTTAAGAAAAAAAAAAAGAAAATAATTCATTGGTTACCTTGTAGGTCCCATGCAGCATCTAAACAAATAGTACTACTAAACTGCAGACAGTTTGTGGTGCCTGCAAGCAGCTCTTCACATCAATAATCCAAAACTACAACCTCTACTAGCCAATAAGGCTCTGGTAGAGGACTTTTGAATGGTGGGGAGATGGAGCACAGCTCGGGGAGGAGGGGCTTAGTACTGACTTAGATAGAAGTCAAGATTTTGTGCAAAATGCACACCTGGAATCCAGGGGAATGTCAGGAATACAAATTCAAAGCTCATGACACAGTACAGGGTACAAAGACCAACCTGATTGCATACAGACTGATTATATAGGCCCTCATAATACATAGTTTTGGTAGATTATACAGAGATTGTATGGTCAGATTGTAGCGTTTGTGGTAACCCTAAAGGTGCCCATACACCTTACGATTATCGGACGATTTTCGTATGCGATTGACTTTTCGTCCGATAATCGTATGTGTGCATTGCAGTGTCCGACCGACAGTACTGTACAATCGTACCACTTTTGAGGGTCAAGCATGTTTGAAAACTTTGCTTGATCGTACGATTTTCGTAAGGTTGCTGGCGTTTCCGTCCGTCAAAAGTCGTACGATCTACACTGCGATTGCGCTAACGAAAATACGGCAAATCAATTACATTTCGTCCAGGTGCTTTTCGTTAATTATGGCTAAATTAATCTTGCAATCATTGGGGCAGGATGGGGCTGCCGTACAAAAATCGTACGACTATTCGATCAGACGAAAAGTTTCGTCCGATAATCGAAAGGTGTATGGGCACCTTTATACAGGTACTTTGTGACTTCCGTATTGCTAGTTTAGGCACTTTTTGGGTCCTGACAGGTTTACTGTACTTAAAAAATAATTCAGTTTCTCTCTGTGCAATTCCCCCTTAGCACATCACAAGTAAAGAAGCCCCCTCTTATTAAACCTTCATAGTTATTGAGAGCCGCACCTTAGTAGAAATAAATACTGAATTTATTCATCAACTGCACTTTGGTTAACTGAATGGCGAGTCTCCCCCACCCCCTCAGTTGAGCTGTGCCTTGCTGACCTGCTGGTGCAGCATGTTGTCAAAGATCCTGTAAAGGCAATGATGGTGACATGCAAGCAGCATGGAATGTGAAAACATGAAGCACAAGTTAAGTCATCTATAAAGATAAATTTGTCTTTGCAAAATCAAAGCATTTTTGCATAGCTCCTTGGAGCGCCCCTTCAGGCTCTATTATTGTAGATTAAAATATACAGCCACACAAATCAATAAAAAGTCCTAAAGTTAAGCCACCTCTGTATCTTCTTCTTTAAAAACATCCACTTGCCTATATGACCTCCATGCCTTTAAGTTACAAGCTTTCAGTATGGCTCCCATTTGCTGTCCCGGTCCCAGTTCATAGGTGCGTGGAACGTCCTTTCCTCTCCTTCTTTCATAGATGGCGTGCATGATCTGCTCCCATCTCACCGGGGACACCAGCTGTTTGGTGAGAAGAGGTGCGATGGCCGGGCCTTGCTTGTACCTCCTTCCATCAACATTACAGTAAACATTAACTAGAGGCTTCATAAACGTCAGACCCTTCAATGCTTCTGCCAGGGGTTCCACGGCAGGTTCCATTAAGCGGGTGTGAAAGGCGCCGCTTACCGGCAGCAGCTTGGTCCGGGAAAAGTTATATTTGCGGGAATTGTCTTGAAGGAACTGAATGGCCTGGAACACATTAAAAAAATGTTACAGTAACAGAACCAGAAGTACAGAAAACCCTGAGCCTCATAACTGAAAGACTAAAACTAGAGCTTTGTCTACCCTCAGAATATCCACATGTTCCTTGTCAGGTTCTAGTCTAGCTTGTGGCAAAATTCCGCTGCTCTGCTGCAGGTTGGTACAGTCCAATGCATAATCAAGTGTACGGACTGACAACACTAAGTTAGTTTATACATGCTCGTTATAAATTTAGCATTATATTCAGACAAAAAGAAACACCCCCTCCCTCAAATGTTTAAGAAAAAAAAAAAGAAAATAATTCATTGGCGGGAGGGGGGGATTTTATCAGAGCAGAAGAATCTAGAGCAGTTGCCTATGGCAACCACTCAGCTTCTCTACTAAGTCTGTTCAGTTAAGCTTTGAAAATAAAACAGAAGCTGATTGATTGCTCCAGATTTTGTCTGCTCCAGTTTTGATAAATTCCCCTCAACATGTTTTAGAACTACAGCACATTCCCCCCCTCCCCATCTCCTTAACATAGGGGCAGTGTTCTATAATGCACAAAGATAACTTATGAATAATGTGAACTGATAACAGAATTCTGCAAGGATCAACAGGTACTTTATTGCACTTATCGAATACATAAAACAAAACTCTTTCAACGGTATAATAAACAGAGCAAAAGGGAGGAAAGGAACGAGTCTGTTGTTTGGGTTTATTTAAACTTACTTTAAATGATTATTGCGTCTCACAGCAAACCCTCTTACCTCCATATGTCCTGCAATGACTCTGCAATTTGGAAACAGGTAATTGGCCACCTCGCACACTGGGTCCTTTATGCCCAAATTAAGACAGTGGTCTTGGGCCTCAGCGCAGGCTGTGCTGTATTTTGTCTGCCATTTGCCAACCACAGAGAGCATACCGCTCGGTACGGCATCAGACGCCTTCTGCATGGCTTCCGCCCTCACTTTGACTGCATACAGAGCTACGATACAGAGATATTTCAATATGAATTATACAGACATGTATGAGATCAGGGCCTCACATTGTACTTCCCTGTGTTCATCTAAATTTGGGTTATTATCCCCAAACGCATGCATCCAAAGCTAGCTCCCTTATGACAATTACGGCTCCATTTTTCACGTTCTAGGTTCTCAGCCAGGGCATGTTTAGCCTAGGGCTACTTCTCAACTAAACTCACTATGACAGCTCAGTCACACTGTGGCTGTAAAAGGGAGCTAAGCAGGTCAAATCCTGCCAATCACCCCTTAAGGAACAGATCATAATGTGCGCACTCAAATGCAGAGATGTCATCAACAAAACATCCACTGAAATTCCAGCTTTCGGTAGACTGACCTGATCCAACTCCATCATCCCCAGTTACATATATCTTATCTTTTTCACATGTCTGCAGGTTATGCTGCACTATATTATTTTTTTATAACGAGGGTATAACACTTTATTTTTTTCACGGAACAATGTCCTTTACACTTACTATATACGTAGTGCGAGGGCCTACTATAACAATGCTAGAGCTGAAACAGTTAATCGATTTAAGTCGATTAAAATCGACGATCGAAAACGTTGTCGACGTTTTTGATCGTCGATTCGTCGGCTATTGATTGATTAGCCTGTTCGGGGCTCCACACACGGCCTGAGCCACACGTCACGCGCGCCCAGGACGCTTAAGCCACGCCCACCGCACAGGAGACTGAAGCCGCGCACGCCGCTGCCGTGAGCTCCCTCACCCGCCGCTATCCCGCCGACAACCGAGGGCACACGATTTGAAAGTAAGTCAGGACCCTTTGAACTGTACCCACACATATCCGCTAGGGAACTACAAATCCAAGCATGCAATCATTGTCCCTGTTATCACTTCCCATTCATTCATAATTGGGGATACAGTACACATACAATGTCCTCAATTATCTACAAACACTCAGTGATCACTGATCGCTGAGTGTTTGCACTTGCTCTCCTCTCTGACACGCTGTCACAGGAAGCTGAGAGCTCCGCCTCCTGTGACAGCGGGGCCTGTCTCCACCCCCACACCGCTCTGCCGGACTGCGATAGGCAGCTGAGCGGTCAGGGCTCACAGCGCTCTCCTCCCACAGGCTGTCACTTTCTCTCCTCCCCGCTGGGACACAGAGCAGCGCCCAGCGGGGAGGAAAGAAAGCACAGATGCACCGCACAGGTGTATCTGCAGGAAAATGACACTTTCGGCATTTATAGCAAAGGTGGCCCAACCAGTTATTAGGTTTAGGGGGCAAACACTTTTTCACACAGGGCCATGTGGGATTTGATTTTGTTTTCCCTTAATAAAAGCCTTCCTTTAAAAACTGCATGTTGTGTTTACTTGTGTTATCTTTGACTAATATTTAAATTTGTTTGATGATCTGAAACATTAAAGTGTGACAAACGTGCAAAACAATGAGAAATTAGGAAGGGGGCCAACACTTTTTCACACAACTGTATATACACATGCATTATAGTGTATTTTATATATACACACACAGTATTTCAATGTATTTATGTACTGCAAAACTTTTTTTTTCATTTTGGATAGAGTAAGGGAGGGTGGAACCCCTTGTCAAGTGATTTATTTGCTGTCTGTGCACCATTAGGGAATTTTGTTTTTCCCAAGAGAAACAACAGATAGTTAGAGGAACTCTACAAAAGTGAAGGAAATTACCCTCTTATAAAGCTGTTTCCATTAGAAGATTTCCTCTCCCCTCTTGTTCTGAGGACAGCTCAATTTGGGATTTCCCCTCACTTTCTTTTGAAGTATAGTCACCTGTACAAATAGAGGGGTGACTCTCTCCAATGGGGACTCATGGGGAGCATTGGCAGAAGGTCTAACCCTTCCACATTCTAAAAAATCTCTCCAAAACAAAAAAAAGGTTTTGCCTAGAGTTAGACTTACAAACACTTGGCACTCCTTTCATTATGCAACTAGTCTGCAATTCCTCAAGAATCCACAAGGTGTCACTGCTGTACCATAGGAGAGGAGAATGATTTATTGATTTGTATTTTAGATTTTTTTACCAAAAAAAAAAACCTTTTTATTTACAGTCTATTTTTTTTTTTAGATACGTGAGAAGGGTAAATGGCAGGATGGGCCATTTATTGATTAGACATAGCCTTTCTCCAAAATCAGCCAGTAACATGGCTCTTTACTATGTCAGCACTGAAATTTGATTCTATTGTGGCTACACTAGTTTTGGCTCAATTACTCTGCTCAACCCCACTGCAGGCATGATGCCCCTTCCTACATATTTCAGCAGCAAATATTCACACTATCAGCCAATTTGAAAGTTTAGATGCATTGCTGAGGATGTCGGGGAGTTTACACACACACTTTTCTTAGAGCTAAACGCCAGGCAAATAACGAAAAACACTAATTATTGCAGGCCTGTATTCCTTATAAAATAATTAGATGTATTTTTAAAAGAAAACGACTGTAAGTGTTTGAATTTGACTTGGTATCAACCTCTTGCAGTCCATGAACAGTAGAGAGAGAAACAGGGACAGCGCAAGAACCCAATGAGTTTTTCGGCACTGTTTGTGTACTTACAAGGAACACACTGATAGGAGGAGAGAGCATTCTGACAAAGAAAAGTGCATTAGTCTGCTTGTGGAGGGACAAGACTTGTAGGTGTTACTGAAATGCAGCAAAAGAAAATCAGGTCAAATCTATGGCAGGTAAAACAGCTCCCCTATATGTATATTATCTGTGTATTTAAATCTTTTTCTAGAGTTCAGCTTTAAAATCTATCACATTTCCTATGACGTACCTTGGAGCTATAGCAGAAGGGATACCACAGTGAAAAACCTTGCTAGGTGTCATCTACACTAAACCCCTCCAACTGCTGTCTGTCCAGTGTAAGGCCTGACATTACTCTGCTGAGTAGCTTCACAATAGCGTCTTCTTTCTTCTATGGTCAGAAATGTCAGGATCGCCAAGTCACTTTCATCGCTTTCACTACAGCTCCAGGTTACATTTATTTATAGACAATCTGGTACTTCTTCAAGTGGAACTCCAGGCAAGCAGCTAATACACAGACTGAAGACATATAAGGGAATCGTTTACCTGCCTGAGATTTACACTGCTCTGCCACACAGCACACCCTATCTAGCAAGGCAGGACATGTGACTTTTCTTTGCTGCAGTTTGATAACCTTTATAGATCGTGTCCCTCCCCCAGCATGTGACGAACAGAGAAAGAAGCAGCAGACTGCTGAGCTCACCTCCCGGTCACTCTGCTCTCCTCCTTGTTGCATGTCCTTTCTTAGCATAAAATGACGGAAACGCAGCTGACTGGATCCGTGTGCTGCTTCTCCTATATAGGGACTGCAAGAGGCTGATACAAAATCAAATTCAGGTGTTTCCACATAGAAAATACATTCACAGATGTATTAACAAATACAGAGCTGCATTAATCTTTTTTTTTTTAACACAGCCTGGAGTTCAGCTTTAAAAGGGCCCTTTAATAGGATTGTGGTGTTTTGCTATTCATTTGGGGCGGCACCCTAATGAACCTAGGCTTCACAGCATCTGGTGCACACCTGTGCATTGTGGTGCGCTGTGCTGTAATGCTTCACATCCATCATAATATCTAGGGATGTCCCGATACCACTTTAAAGACCAAGTACTGTCCTTCAGGTATTTGCCGATACCAATTACCGATACTTCTTCTTAAAGGGACAGGTGACTTTTTCTAAAACAACACAGATTGATGATTTTAGGGCAGATTCTCAGCAGAGCTAAATACGGATGTCACCAGAACTGAATACATGTCCCCACAGCAGAACACATGTCCCTAAGGCAGAATAGTATTCTGCTGTGGGGACATGTATTCTGCTTTCGGAACATGTGTTCTGCAAATACATGTCTCCAAAGCAGAATTCCTCTCACCAGGCTGTGTGTCACCGGGCAACGTGGCCATCTGCAGTGGCTCTGCCGGCACTCCACCTCCCCAGCGATGTCGGGACACGGCCTCCCCCATGTCCAGTCCGCCCGACTCTCTGCGCTGCTGGGCCCCAAGACTTTCATCCATCTCCCGGCCCAGTCCTCCTCATCAGTGTGCGGCGGAATCCCCAGCTTCTAGCCCCGTGGCGGTAGATGTCCATGGCAGTGCCTGCGCCGGGAAGGAGGAAATAAAGAACCGGACAGGCACCGCCATGGACAGCTATCTGCAGGACCCCAGCAGGCTACCGAGGTCCCCACAAGCGCAGGAACTCTGATGGCCGCTGCTATTTGAAAATGTAAAGGGCTGGTATCGGCCTTAAGAATCGGGGCATTTTCATGAGTACAAGTACTTGTGAAAAAGCCTGGTATCGGCCCCAATTCTAGTATCGGTATTGGGACATCCCTAATAATATCCATTGCAATTGAATAGGCTGCTCTAAATAACGCGTAAAAATCCACACAGTACCGCTAAAGTATGAATGGGCCCTAAAATAAACATTATATAAAAAAACATTTAAAAAGTGAGGTACATTTCATAGTGGCGGCTTTCTAATGATCTACTTGCCATTTTTGTATCCTTACCTTTTTTCAATTGTCAATGCCCAGATACAGGTCATAAAGCTGCATAGAGCAGAACCCTCAGCAGAGATAACATAGATGGGGGAGTCTTATACCAACATTAAAGGCAGATGTAGGTTATTACCATGTCACTTTAAGAAACGTTGCCACTTGGCTAATTCAGTGATGAATAATAAAGACAGAACATGCAGGAAAGCAGTTGGAATACAAGAACAGAACGTTGTCACCCCACAACAGGAAGTGCCTGAACAAGGACTATCATTGCAGGATCACCAGGTATTTATTTTAATTTAAGCTGCAGATTTAAAACACTGAAAAGACTATTGAAATTGTATTAACAAGATTTGCTTTAAAAGTCAGATCAGTATTTCAGAATTCACTTGGACTACTCTGATCCGCATTGTTGTTCAGGTCTCTGAGCCAATGTAGTATTTTAGTTGACCAGACCATTTATTAGAACAAGTCTTCCCAAAAGATTAAACATGCATTTAAAGTAGAACTATGGGGTCAGGGCTTTTCCCCATTGTTCTCCTAACGGTAACGGGAGGACACAAACTAGCGTCCTCACCCTAAGCTCAGTATACCGCAATAATCCCTTCAGGGAGCCGTGAGTGACAGTCACAGCTCTCTGCACGGATACATTGAGAAGTGAGCAAGCGCCGGTATGTGCTAGCTCACTTCCCGATCTACTGATCTGACGTGTGACAGTTTTATTGTCACAGGTCGGCTCAGATTATGAGAATGAGTGAAAATCTGAAAATCACTCTCCTCATAATTCTCCTTTAACATATTTTATTCATGTTATTTACCTGTGAAAGACATCCAAAAGCCCTGAGACTGCTGCTGGGTGCTGAAATCTTGGATGTGATAGAAGCATCCTGAGCAGCCTCAGAGCTGTAGGGCTGCAACAACTAATCGACATAATCGATTATAATCGATTATTGAAAAAGTTGTCATCTTTTTCAATAATCGATTAATCGGCTTCCGATCAGTTGGCCCTGTTCACAGCTCCACACGCTGTGCGCCGCACCTCCTCCCCACCTCAGGCTCGCCGCTGTTAGGCCCGCTCGCATCCACGCTCCACACGCCGCACCTCCTCCCCGCCTCACATTTCCTGCCCATCCACGATCGGCAAGGCACGCGGGGAGATGTAGTAAGGAGGAGCAGGGGGTGGGGGAATGACAGCCGCTGATAGACAGGTCCAATCTCAGAAGCAAGTTGCTGGAAGACTGGTCAGGTAAGCCTGCACTTTCCCACACATGGTGCTCTATAATGTATTGCTGGGATTTGTATTTCTCTATAGCTGATGGTACATTGTGCTGTATATTATACATAGGAATACAAATCCCAGCAATACATTATACACTGTATGTATAATGTATTGCTGGGATTTGTTGTACTCCTCTATAGCTGGTGATATTCTGCATTGCGCTGTATAGAGGACTACAAGTCCCAGCAATAATACATTATACAGCGCAATGCGGAATACCACCAGCTATAGAGGACTACAACAAATCCCAGCAATAGTACATTATAAAGTGGTACAATGCTAAATACCACCAGCTATAGAGGACTACAAAACCCAGCAATAGTACATTATACAGCGCAATGCAGAATGCCGCCAGCTATTATGTACTATTGCTGGGATTTGTTGTATTCCTCTATAGCTGGCGGTGTTCTGCATTGCGCTGTATAATGTGCTTTTGCTGGGTGTTGTACTCCTCTATAGCCGGTGCCATTCTGCATGCATTGCTGTATAATTTTACACTTTCCATTTCACTATATTGCACACCACACTATCTTTTTTTTCTTTTTTACTTCCACCGCTCCAAGCTTGCTCCTGTGATGGACTACAACCTCAATACAAACTAGTAGTCCTATCACTGGAGCCATTTTTTAAACTTTATTTTATTGTTTATCCGATTAATCGAACTTAATAATCGGCTAACTAATCGATTTTGAAAATAATCGTTAGCTGCAGCTCTACAGAGCTGTCTCTCAAGTGAAAGTCTATAGTATTTCCATTTGCTCTTTCTCCTGCAGCTACATAAAACATTATGTATGGAGCTGAGGGGAGGGGCAGGGGAGCTAGGCCAACACAGGGAATTACTAGGCATAACCAAAAGAGGAGAGGGCTATAACCTACAAGTATGGAGGGTGCTGCGCTAAGGAATTGACTCTTCCTGGAGTAGTCAAATTTTCAAAGGCACATTGCAAGTGATTGAAATAAACATTTATGGATAGGAAATCACTGCAAATAAACATTTAAATTGCTTCATTTCATTTTTACCTGAATTTTTTTTAAAGTTAGTGTCAGGATCTTTAAAACACAGTACACAGAAAAAGTTGCCGCAAAGCACCTATAAGTCTATCGATGTCGCCTGAAAGCGGGGAACCCCTTTAGGTCCCGGAATGGCAGAAGTAAACTTACAGTCGGGTTCTCCTGGGTCAGCTTCTCAGTGGCAGCCACACAAGTCACAAATATGGCAGGTTGGCAGTAGACGGTCTTGTTCAGCATGTCGATGGGGCCACGGAGGCACAGATCCAGGAGGTCGTAGCCCAGCACCTTGTTGGCGGTAAGGAACATCTCCCTGACATTGGGGTACTTGAGAAGCCCACCAGCCATGCCCAATTCCTGGCTGCCCTGTCCTGGAAAGAGGAGGACTGTGCTCTCAGTGAGTGAGCGCCTGTCTAGTCTGGGTCTCTCCTTCTCTTCCTCCCCTCTATCTGTATAAGCCTCTTCCAGCATGGTTTGAATCTCCTCCCCGTCCCTTCCTAACCCTGACATCCACCTCTGCCCATTATACAGAAGTCCCCGATGCCTCAGTGCCCTGAGAAGAGCTGAGCCCCCCATCCCTGGATACAGCTTATAACACTGACCCAATATCACTATCACACAACGATCGCATGGAGCTCCTATACCCTACAAGACACTTCCGCGAGTACGGTACGCCTGGAAAGCCTTCCTTCCACAAACACCACCCCCGGCACAAAGGTTCCTAGTTACATAAGTCCCTCCTTTCTTTCGCCAGGTTCTATAGTCTTCAAAGTGATAAATAATCCCTGAAGCTGGCCACACATGAATAGACTTCCGGTGGTTGGGTTCAAGCAGCAAATTTCAGTTTGATATTTACACTTGCCTGTATAAAAATAAATAAAAAATACATTTCAAAGATTGTTTAACAATTTTTTTGTGCATATGAGATATTATTTTATGAATCAGATAATACTATTAGATAAGTCTATGAGATTGTGCCCGAATGTCCTCCAGTCTCGCTCCCCCTCTGTTCCAGCAGTCTAAGGTCCTGGGAGTCATCACCTCCTATACAATGTATAGGATATGAGGACGCTGAGGGATGTTCCATTGCTGGAGTGGAGGGGGAGACAGGTTGCAAGGACCAATCAAAGAGCCAGGCAGCTGCAAGGTTCAGGTGTGTACAACTTTTTTTTATCTGCGACCCTAGGTGGAAATAAACACTTCACCCTTGCAGTTCAGGGGTAGCCCGACTGCAAGCCTTAAGAATATTTATGCCCAGAGTTGTTCTTTTTGTTTAGTTTCGGATACGGTGGAGTGGGGTCAGGACTTCTGTCAGGTTTTATTGCTGTCTGTGGCCGCACTGCAGAAGAGATTTGCCCTCTTTATTTGTCCCGGTGACTTCCAGGACTTCCTAGGACAGGCAAGTGATATCAATGGAAAAGGAATACAGGGGAAAGCTTCCAATACAGGTACCTGTTCCAGCGACAACTAAGAGGGGATTTACCCTCAATGTTGGAGCGATTTCCTACCACTTCCTGCTGAGTCGCCAGGACAGGAAGTAATGGGGAATCTCCCCAATGGGACACACAGTGGAGGGGTTTTAACCCTTCCATTCTCTGTCCAAAACCAGCTAAACAAAATATCTTACAGCTTGCTGCGACATCTTGCTAATCCCATCATGTATCTGCCTCTGGAAGTCATGCCTGTGGCTCTCAGGGTCTTGTAATGCCTCATGGGATTTGTAGTTCCACCACAGCTGGGGTGCTGAGGTTGCCTATCTCTATATTACTGGGCAATAATGAAACACTGGAAACGACAGTGTTTTGGTCGGCCGGAGTCGCGCAGGAAGTGCCAAAGGCCCGCATATGCAGGTTAGGCACCGAGTCTTTAGGGCCCATTCACCACATGTTTGGATTAGATCCAGACAGCTACGTTTTATCTCCCACATAAAAATGCATCCAGGGATCCCAACCTGAAAAAAGTAATGTCAGGGAGGTGCCCTTCTCATTTCAAGGAGATGCCCTCTGCCCCCCCTGATCATTAAAGAGCACCCCCCTGAAATGATGGCAGATAGCAAAGAAGCTACTGCTTCCCGTGCTATCTGCTGTTTTTTTGTTTTGTTTATTTAGCATTCTGACAGCTGCTGCCGTCAGAGTAAGAAACAAAACAAAACCCAGCATTGGAATGAATAGCTAGACTGCTATTGGCTATTTGAATTTGGATTAGCCAATAGCAAGCTGGCTATTGCGTCCGCCCACGGCTGCTGTCAATCAGCAGGGGGAGGACCTGATGGAGAACTTCAGGTACACCTCTGCTGATTGACAGCAGCAGTGGGCTGGTGCAATAACTAATCTGCTATTGGCTATTACAAATTCAAATAGCCAATAGCAATCTAGCTATTCATTCCTATGCTGGGTTTTGTTTTGTTTCTTACTCTGACGGCAGCAGCTGTCAGAATGCTAAATAAACAAAACAAAAAAACAGCAGATAGCATGGGAAGCATCAAACAGTAGGGAAAGGTCTACTCTGCTAGATCAAGCAGAGTAAACCTTTCCGGGAGAAAACGTTTCTCTCCCGGGCGCCGGGAGCCGCTATCTAATAGTGGTAGACTCCCGGAGCGTCAGGGAGAGTCGGGATGTCTGTGCATCCCAATGTATTTGTATGGGATTTCTGGGCTCTGTTCACACCAATGCAGTCTGTTCCAGTGCAGGGGAAAAAATACAGCTTGCCACATTCTATCTGCACTGGAACGCACCGGAAT